GTCACTACTGGCTACCACCTTTTATCATATAAATAAGGTAACTGCCTAGAGGTCATTGTGTATAAGTCCACAGTCTTTATGATAGGGAATCATTCCAGTTGCCATGTCTTTTCATTATCATAAAGCCTGCGCTTTTTTTCATTAATTGTAGGCAAGGCCTTAGACCTCCATCTCATTATGTACCTGGTCAATATCATTGCGATTTTCATTAGCCACTTGGGCAATATCATTGGAAATTTCATTAGCTACTTGACTGATATCATTGCAATTTTCATTAGCCATTTGGAAGTTATCATTGGAAATTTCATTAGCCACTTGGGCAATATCATTGGGAATTTCATTAGGCACCTGGGCAATATCATTGCAATTTTCATTAGCTTAGTTGGGCAATATCATTGGAAATTTCATTAGCTACTTGACTGATATCATTGCAATTTTCATTAACTATTTGGGAATTATCATTGGAAATTTCATTAGCCACCTTGGCAATATCATTGTGATTTTCATTAGCCTCTTGGGCTATATCATTGGGAATTTCATTAGGAACCTGGGCAATATCATTGTGATTTTCATTAGCTATTTGGGAATTATCATTGGAAATTTCATTAGCCTCTTGGGCAATATCATCGGAAATTTCATTAGCCACCTTGGCAATATCATTGCGATTTTCATTAGCCTCTTGGGCAATATCATTGGGAATTTCATTAGGCACTTGGGCAATATCATTGGGAATTTCATTAGGCACCTGGGCAATATCATTGCAATTTTCATTAGCTTAGTTGGGCAATATCATTGGAAATTTCATTAGCTACTTGACTGATATCATTGCAATTTTCATTAACTATTTGGGAATTATCATTGGAAATTTCATTAGCCACCTTGGCAATATCATTGTGATTTTCATTAGCCTCTTGGGCTATATCATTGGGAATTTCATTAGGAACCTGGGCAATATCATTGTGATTTTCATTAGCTATTTGGGAATTATCATTGGAAATTTCATTAGCCTCTTGGGCAATATCATCGGAAATTTCATTAGGCATGTGGGCAATATCATTGCGATTTTCATTAGCTAACTGGGCAATATCATTGGAAATTTCATTAGGCACCTGGGCAATATCATTGCGATATTCATTAGCTATTTGGGAATTATCATTGCAATTTTCATTAGCTTAGTTGGGCAATATCATTGGAAATTTCATTAGGCACATGGGCAATATCATTGCGATATTCATTAGCTATTTGGGAATTATCATTAGAAATTTCATTAGCGCTCTTGGGCAATATCATTGGGAATCTCATTAGGCACCTGGGCAATATCATTGCGATTTTCATTAGCTACTTGGGCAATATCATTGGAAATTTCATTAGGCACCTGGGCAATATCATTATGATTTTCATTAGCCTAGTTTGGCGATATTATTGCGATTTTCATTGGCTACTTGGGCAATATCATTGGAAATTTCATTAGGCACCTGGGCAATATCATTGCGATTTTCATTAGCTACTTGAGCAATATCTTTGGAAATTTCATTAGCTGCTTGGGCTATATCATTGTGATTTTTGGTCATCAGGAGGGTGGGTGGTCACATGACCTATTTCCAAAAATGGTCAAAAAGCGAAAATTGTAGCCCTGCACTGTAGCTTCCTGAACCTGTTGGAATTATGTTCTAAAGTGCTCCCATTGTGGAGATATAACATAAAGTCTTTTTCTCATCACCGGCTTTTTTTGACCTTTTTGCATTTTTCTCCATGAGAACAACACCAAACAAAATGATTTTAACACATTTAGAAAGCTAAGAGAAAGGGCTACAATTCTTGTATCATGGGGAAAATGACCAAAAAAGGAAGGTGCATACCCTAACAGGTAAATTGACACTGACATATTATAAAAGATTGCAGGTAGACTACAAAAGTCAGTTATGGACTACAAAGTGTACTAGTAGACTACAAAGACCACAAAAAGTCAGACATGGACTACAAGCTTACTGATAGA